AAAAAAAAAAAAAAGAAAAAAAGAAAAAAATGAAATATAGAAAATTTAGATGGACACTTGTATTTCCTAATTTATGTATCTTGGTCAGCTTCTCCACAAGCTTACCTAATTATTTATACACTTTATGCTTATTAAAGTATACATTTTTAAATGTTAGCCTATTAAAAAAAAAAGATGTGACTCACTTAACAGAAGAGAAGGTATGTGAAATTCTTGAATTGTGTAGAGAAAGAGAGGATTATTCCCCTTTAATACTTGTTATTAGAGGAGTTTTTTCTAGTGCTGAGGCATTGGTACAGAGCTTCCAGAGAGGTAAACAACACACCAAGAAAGAACTGAAATCTCTTTAAGCAAAGGATGAAGACAAGGATGAAGATGAAAAGGAAAAAGCTGCATGTTCTGCTGCTGCTATGGAAGAAGACTCAGAAGCATCTTCCTCAAGGATAGGTGATAGCTCACAGGGAGAAAACAATCTGCAAAAATTAGGCCCTAATGATGTGTCTGGGGATATTGATGCCATTAGAAGGGTCTACACCAGATTGCTCTCTAATGAAAGAATTGAAACTGCCTTTCTCAATGCATTTGTATATTTGTCGCATAACGTGGAATGTGACTTGACATATCACAACGAATACTCTTGAGATCCGAATTATCTGAATTTGTTCATTTTCGTAATGGAGAATAGAAATCTCCACAGTCCTGAATATCTGGAAATGGCTTTGCCATTATTTTGCAAAGCAATGAGCAAGCTACCCCTTGCAACCCAAGGAAAACTGATCAGACTGTGGTCTAAATACAATGCAGACTAGATTTAGAGAATGATGGAGCCATTTCAGCAACTTATGACTTACAAAGTCATAAGCAATGAATTTAACAGTTGAAATCTAGTGAATGATGATGATGCCATTGTTGCTGCTTCGAAGTGCTTGAAAATGGTTTACTATGCAAATGCAGTTGGGAGGGGAAGTAGACACAAACCACAATGAGGAAGATGATGAAGAACCCATCCCTGAGTCCAGTGAGCTGACACTTCGGGAGCTTTTGGGAGAAGAAAGAAGAAACAAGAAAGGTCCTCGAGTGGACCCCTGGAAACTGAACTTGGTGTTAAAATCCTGGATTGTCGAAAACCACTTATCCCTTTTGAAGAGTTTATTAATGAACCACTGAATGAGGTTCTAGAAATGGATAAAGATGATACTTTTTTTCAAAGTAGAAACAAAAAACAAATTCTTTTATGACATGTCCCTTTATATTGAATGGTGTCACAAGGAATTTGGGATTTTGACAATAGAATTCGCATGTACAGTGAACGAAGAATCACTGTTCTCTACAGCTTAGTTCAAGGACAGCAGGTGAATCCATATTTGAAACTCAAAGTTAGATGTGACCTTATCATAGATGATGCACTTGTCCGGCTAGAGATGATCGCAATGGAAAATCCTGCAGACTTGAAGAAGCAGTTGTGTGTGGAATTTGAACGAGAACAAGGAGTTGATGAGGGAGGTGTTTCCAAAGAATTTTTTCAGCTGGTTGTGGAGGAAATCTTCAGTCCAGATACTGGTATGTTCACATATGATAAATCTACAAAATTGTTTTGGTTTAATCCATCTTCTTTTGAAACTGAGGGGTCAGTTTACTCTGATCGGCATAGTACTGGGTCTGGCTATTTACAATACCTGTATACTGGATGTACATTTTCCCATGGTTGTCTACAAGAAGCTAATGGGGAAAAAAGGAACTTTTCGTGACTTGGGAGACTCTCATCCAGTTCTATCTCAGAGTTTAAAGAGGGAATGTGGAAGATGACATGATGATCACTTTCCAGATATCACAGACAGATCATTTTGGTAACCCGATGACGTATGATCTAAAGGAAAATGGTGATAAAATTCCAATGACAAATGAAAACAGGAGGGAATTTGTTAATCTTTATTCTGACTACATTCTCAATAAATCAGTAGAAAAACAGTTCAAGGCTTTGTGGAGAGGTTTTCATATGGTGACCAATGAATCTCCCTTGAAGTACTTATTCAGAACAGAAGAAATTGAATTGCTTATATGTGGAAATCGGAATCTACATTTCCAAGCACTAGAAGAAACTACAGAATGATGGTGGCTATACCAGGGACTCTGTTCTGATTAGGGAGTTCTGGGAAGTTGTTCATTCCTTTACAGATGAACGTAAAAGATTCTTCTTGCAGTTGAAAATGGGCACAGACAGAGCACCTGTGGGAGGACTAGGAAAATTAAAGATGATTATACCCAAAAATGGCCCAGACATGGAAAGGTTACCTACATTTCATACTTGCTTTAATGTGCTTTTACTTCTGGAATATTCAAGCAAGGAAAAACTTGAAGAGAGATTTTTTTTTTTTTTTTGAGACGGAGTCTGGCTCTGTTGCCCAGGCTGGAGTGCAGTGGCCGGATCTCAGCTCACTGCAAGCTCCGCCTCCCAGGTTTCCACCATTCTCCCGCCTCAGCCTCCCGAGTAGCTGGGACTACAGGCGCCCACCACCACGCCCGGCTAGTTTTTAGTATTTTTTTTTTAGTAGAGACGGGGTTTCACCGTGTTAGCCAGGATGGTCTCGATCTCCTGACCTCGTGATCCACCCGTCTCAGCCTCCCAAAGTGCTGGGATTACAGGCTTGAGCCACCACGCCCGGCCAAAGAGAGATTCTTGAAGGCCATCATGTATGCCAAAGGATTTGGCATGCTGTAAAACAAAACAAAATGAAACAAAAAAGGAAGAAAAAATTTAAAAATTTTAAAAATATAACAAGAAGGATAACTTTTTGGTGGTGATAGTGTCCCGGTACAAAAATGCTGTAAGTTAGTGAACCACAGTAGTCACCTATGTCTGTGCCTCCCTTCTTTATTGGGGGCATGTGGGCTGGAACAGCAGATTTCAGCTACATATATGAACAAATCCTTTATTATTATTATTTTGTGTGTGAAAGTGTTACATATTTTTTCACTTGTATATACAGAGAGGTTTTTCTGAATATTTATTTTAAGGGTAAAATCACTTTGGCTTGTGTTTATTACTGCTTGAAGTTGAGCGTTTTGAGTATTTAAAAAATAAATGCCAACAGAACTACTCTCCCAAGGAAAATATTGCCACCGTTTGTAGACAATGTAACCTTCAAGCCTGTGCTACTTTTTTGTCCCTGTATCTAAATCAAATCAGACACTGTCTTTTTTTTTTAAATGATTTGCTTTTGAAACTTGAAGTCTTGAAAACAGTGTGATACAATTACTACTGTTCTAGCCCCCAAAGAGTTTTCTGTGCAAAATCTTGAGAATCAATAAAGATGGAAGCGAGAAACTGGAATGTTTTAACTGCAGCCCTCAGAACTTTAGTAACAGCACAACAAATTAAAAACTCATGCCACAGTATGTCGTCTTTGTGTGTCTTGCAATGAACTGTTTCAGTAGCCAATCCTCTTTGTTAGTATATGAAAGGAAAGGGATTTTTGTTCTTGTTGTTATTTTAAGCTTACTGGGGAAAGTGCAGTTGGTAAAATGAAATGGTAGTCAAGCCTACTGCAACAAAGTTAGGAAGTCTGTTGTTTATTATAAACAAATAGCATGTGAAAGTGCACTTCAGATAGATTTTTTATTAATTACTTATTACCTAGATTTTAAATAGACAATCCAAAGTCTCCCCTTCCTGTTGCCATCATCTTGTTAAATCAGCCATTTTATTGAGGCACGTGGTGAGTGTTGCAACACAATGACAAAGATGGCTACTGCGCCTTGTGTTAATTAATCATACAGTCAGCTAACCTGGAAATGAATGAAACTATTACTTCTAAGAATTACCTTGTAAAGCCCCACCAGTAAAATTTAATTCAAAACATGTTAAACATTACTTTCATGTACTATGGACAGGTACAGATAGGATTAAATTACTGGATTTTCAGAAGTCAGTAGTTTTCCCTTTCCTAGTCTTCTGTGTACGAGATGTTAATTTCTTTTATTGCATTAAGAAGTAAAAGAGTTACGTATTTTAACTAAAACAAAAAAGTAAAAACAAAAAACAGACAGAAAATAATCACCTAGAGAAAATAGTACAGGTCCCAGGGGACACGAGACTGGAAGTGTCTGTCATCACAGAAAATCATCAACTGGAGAAGGCGAAAGAGGTACCAGAAGACACTCGAGGGGAGGTGTCTGTGGTCCCAGAAAATCATCGGCTTGAGAAACTGGTAGGGGTCCCAAGGGGCACTCAACTGCAGGTGTCTGTGGTCTCAGAAAATCATCCCCTGGAGATAGTGGCTGAGGTGCGAGAAGACACTCGAGGGGAGGTGTCTTGGTCTCAGAAAATCATTAGCTGGAGAAAATGGCTGAGGTCCCAGGGGACAGTCGACGGGAGGGGTCTATGGTCTTAGAAAATCATCAACTGGAGAAGGTGGAAGAGGTACCAGAAGACACTCGGGAGGTGTCTGCAGTCTCAGAGAGTCATCAGCTGGAGAAAACCCAGGGGACAGGCAACTGGAGGGGTCTGTGGTCTCAGAAAATCATCAGTTGGAGAAGGTGGAAGAGGTACCAGAAGACACTCGGGAGGTGTCTGCAGTCTCAGAGAGTCATCAGCTGGAGAAAACGGGAAAGGTCCCAGGGGACAGGCAACTGGAGGGGTCTGTGGTCTCAGAAAATCATCAGTTGGAGAAGGTGGAAGAGGTACCAGAAGACACTCGGGAGGTGTCTGCAGTCTCAGAGAGTCATCAGCTGGAGAAAATGGGCGAGGTCCCAGGGGACCGTCTGTGGGAAGTGGTCTTAGAAAATCGTCAGCTGTAGAAGGTGGAAGAGGTACCAGAAGACACTCGGGAGGTGTCTGCAGTCTCAGAAAATCATCAGCTGGAGAAAATGGGAAAGGTCCCAGGGGACAGTCAACTGGAGGGGTCTGTGGTCTCAGAAAATCATCAGCTGGAGAAGGTGGAAGAGGTACCAGAAGACACTCAGGAGGTGTCTGCAGTCTCAGAAAATCCTCAGCTGGAAAAGGTGGCTGAGGTACCGGAAGACACTCGAGGGGAGGAGTCTGTGATTTCATAAAATCATCAGCTGCAAAAAATGGTAGAGGTACCAGGGGATACTCGACTGGAGGTGTCTGTGGTCCCAGAAAATCATCAACTGGAGAAAATGGTAGAGGTCCCAGGGGACACTCAATGGGAGGTGTCTGTGGTCTCAGAAAATCATCAACTGGAGTAGGTGGCTGAGGTACCAGAAGACACTCGAGGGGAAATGACTGTGGTCTCAAAAAATCTTCAGCTGGAGACAATGGTAGAGGTCCCAGGGGACACTGGAGTGGAGTTGTCTGTGATCTCAGAAAATCATCAGCTAAAGACAATGGCTGAGATACCAGAAGACACTTGACGGGAGCTGTCCGTGGTCTCAGAAAATCATTAGCTGGAGAAGGTGGAAGAGGTATCAAAAGACACTCGATGGGAGACGACTGTGGTCTCAGAAAATCATCAGCTGGAGATAATGGTCGAGGTCCAATGGGACATTCGACTGGAGGTGTCTGTGGTCTCAGAAAATCATCAACTGGAGAAGGTGGAAGAGGCACAAAAAGACACTTGAGGGTAGATGACGGGAGTCTCAGAAAATCATCAGCTGGAGAAAATGGTCGAGGTCCCAGGGGACACTCAACGGGCGGTGTCTGTGGTCTCAGAAAATCAACTGGAGAAGGTGGAAGAGGTATCAGAAGACACTCGAGGGGAGTTGTCTCCAGTCTTAGAAAATCCTCACCAGGAGAAGGTGGTTGAGGTACCAGAAGACACTCGAGGGGAGGTGTCTGTGGTCTCAGAAAATCATCAGTGGTAGAAAATGGTCGAGGTCTCAGGGGACACTTGACAGGAGGTGTCTGTGGTCTCAGAAAATCATCAACTGGAGAAGGTGAAAAAGGAACCAGAAGACACTTAAGGGGAGTTGTCTGTGGTCTCAGAAAATCGTCAGCTCGAGAAGGTGGAAGAGATAGCAGAGGAGACTCGAGGGGAGGTGATTGTGGTCTCAGAAAATCATCAGCTGGAGAAAATGGCCAAGGTCCCAGGTGACACTCGAAGGGAGGTATCTGTGGTCTCAGAAAATCCTCAGCTGGAGAAGGTGGTTGAGGCACCAGAAGACAATCGAGGGGAGGTGTCTGCGGTATCAGAAACTCATCAACTGGAGGTGAAATAGGTACCAGAAGACACTTGAGGGGAGGTGTCTGCAGTCTGAGAAAAGCATCAGCTGGAGAAAATGGTAGAGGTCCCAGGCGACACTCGATAGGAGGTGTCTGTGGCATCAAAAAATCATCAACTGGAGAAGGTGGAAGATGTACAAAAAGACACCCGAGGGGAGTTGACTGTGGTCCCAGAAAATATTCAGCTGGAGAGAATGGTAGAGGTCCCAGGGCACAGGCGATGGGAGGTGTCTGTGGTCTCAGAAAATCATCAACTAGAGAAGGTGGAAGAGGTACCAGAAGACACTCCAGGGGAGTTATCTGCGGTCTCAGAAAATCCTCAGCTGGAGAAGGTGGTGGAGGTACCAGAAGACACTTGAGGGGAGATGTCTGTCGTTTCAGAAAATCATCAGCGGGAGAAAATGGCCGCAGTCCCAGAGGACACTCGACGGGAGGTGTCTGTGGTCCCAGAAAACCATCAACTAGAGAAGGTGGAAGAAGCACCAGAAGACGCTCGATGGGAAATGTCTGTGGTCTCAGAAAATCATCAGTTGGAGAAAATGGTAGAGGTCCTAGGGGACACTTGAGGGAAAGTGTCTGTGGTTTCAGAAAATTATCAACTGGAGTAGGTGGAAGGCATACAAAAGGACACTCAAGGGGAGATAACTGTGTTCTCAGAAAATCTAATGGTAGAGGTCGCAGGGGACACTTGACTGGAGATGTCTCTGGTCTCAGAAAATTATCAACTGGAGAAAGTGAAAGAGGTACCAGAAGACACTTGAAGGGAGGTGTGTGTGGTCTCAGAAAATCATCAGCTGGAGAAAATGGTAGAGGTCCCAGAGGACACTCGACTGGAGGGGTCTGTGGTCTCAGGAAATCATCAACTGGAGAAGGTGGAAGAGGTACCAGAAGACACTCAAGGGGAAGTGGCTGTGGTTTCAGAAAATCAACAGCTGGAGAAGGTGATTGAGATACCAGAAGACACTCGAGCAGAGATATATGTGGTCTCAGAAAATCATCAGCTGGAGAAAATGGTAGAGGTCCCAGGGGACACTCGAATGGAGGTGTCTGTCGTCTCAGAAAATCATCAGTTGTAGAAGGTGGTTGAGGTCCTAGGGGACACTCGAGTTGAGAAATAGTCAGAGGTCCCAGAAAACCTTTAGCTGATGGAAGTGGTTGAGCTCCCAGATGATACTGAGATGGAGCAGGTGGCTGGTGGCCCATGCATTGTCTTAAAGGTTCAGCCATGAGGTAGGGCGAGTAGGGCAATCCTGAGGAATGATGATGCTCCACTGCAACCATACTGACCTGTAGGGCAGAAGGAGGAAATGTTTTCACATATATTCATTTGATGGACAAAATTACCACCACCAACACAGGCTGCACCTTCTGTTGCTCGTGATAGTTTTTTGCACCTTTCCATCCTCCAGGTTTCAAAATAGCATTATCAGTGTTATAATATCACTCTTCCACTAAGTACTGCCGACCACTGGCGAATAAAGAAAAGTCACTGGGACACACTGTTGTCTCCACATGCCAGTGGGTCTGTCTGCAAATGTAGGCAGGCTGGCGTCCTGCCCCAGGGAAGACAGAGTCATAACAGAGTAATAAAGCAGCATGTTTGAGACACACGAGTGTCTATGTCTATCCTCATTCCTCCCTCACAGCCATCACCAGAGCATTTTCCTTGCACCAGGTCAACAGACAGTAAGAGAGGCATGAAAAGCCCATTGTCCACACATGCTGCAGCTTCTTTTTGGAGAATGTTTCCCAGGCCTTTTACGTTCTGTCTCTGATTCTCAGAACTCTGCAAGGTCAGTGTGACCACCCTGCTCAAAATCTAAGAAAACAGAGGTTTGCAGAGGAAGGAGAAAATGTGCGCAGGGTCACAAAGCTTGCAAGAGGCCGAGTGGAAGTTGATTCCAGCTCTCCCTGCAGGACCCTCTCATTTCCCCCTCTGTTTCCCTTCTTGACAAAGGATCTTCTTCACTCTGGAGGTGCCACCTATGAGAACGAAGAGTTCTGGGGAGATGTGGATTCCTGAAGAGCTGCAGGGGAACTGGGAGAGGGTTTGCTGAGAGAACAATCCTACAACAAGAAGTCAGTTAGGCATGGCTGTAATATTTCTTTTCACTCCCAGGTAATACCAAATCGTAAGTGCATTAAGACATAAAGAATACTTTTGTCCACGGAAAAATGAGGTGGGAATTCTAAACAAAGCAAGTTTTAAAAATGTGTTTGACTTCAAGTGTACAAGTCCCATCATGTGTAATCATAGGACTCGGCAGCTGTTGAAGGTACAGAGGCCACACAAGAACCAGCATAGCTGAGCATCATTTAAGGCCTTCATTTGGAATTGTCCCTTGGTAATAAGTTACATTCACTCTTCACTAACACTCGGGGCCTATTTGCTATTACAAATATGGAACCTTTGACACTGAGAATATTAGATCAGGGGCACCACTGGGTGGGGATGAAGGTGTTTTTGCACCACACAGTTACCAAGAGGGATGGGACTGTGATGGACTATGGAATTGGCCTTGTCAAAGAGCATTCGAAATTGCACAAAGCACAAATTAATGTTGGATTAATGAGTTTTCACTATCTTCTGGGAATACAGCAGATATTTCAAATGTTAATCTCCTACCTTAGAGCAGAAAACAAACAAAATCACAGCAAAAGAAAGAAAACCCCACATATTTCAGAAATGAGACCTCACAACATCTTGAGTAAAGAGGGTCGGTGGGGGTTCCCTGCACCATGAGACCTACAGTAGTGGAGGTCAGTGGCACCTCCTCGTGTTCGTTCTGGAAACAGAACAGTAAAAGTCCTTCAGCCCTCGGCCCCTGAGCATTTATGGATTCTGGAGGTGCCACCAACGATGATCAGCGGGGAACGGAGAAGCCTGAAAGCTCATGGGGAAGATTTTGCTTCTGAAAAAGTCGAGACAGAAAAGGCACCACAGAACCCACAGAGCAGAGGCCAGGCCAGGAGAGGGCGTTGTAGGAAAAGACCAAAGTATCCTGATACAGGAAGAGTGAAAACCACCCCAGCATTTACCTTTGTCTTCTCTGTGTTTCCAGCTGGGATGCAGCTGCTGTTCCTCATGGGAACCGAATGAGGTCCTGAATCTGCTAAGGGCCAGAGAAGGGAATGGCGCTAAATCTGGCTTGCATGTTCTGTGCAGAGTAAGAAACCCCCCACACCCTCCACTGCCATCTCACTCTCTGCCACACAGGTCCCTTACCACAGGCGCAGGGTTTCTTGACCACATGCCTCAGAGGAATCTGGAGCCCTCGGGGCCCTCATCCTTGAGGAAGACACCACAGAGCCCTGGTCCAGGGGTATTCTTAACTCTCAACAGGCTGTGAACAGGTCAGGCTCTAACCAGCTGGAAATGAGCTCTAAATCAGTACATATCAGAGGAACTCACTCATCATGTAAGTACAGACTCAAAATTAAAATAGGAACAGCCATGTTTGGAAGAATATCAGTAAACCCTGGATAGGAACAACACTGCTCCTCTTCTTCAAGCCATAGGGGCATTTAAAATTCTGTGGATTCATAGTTAATCTAACTTTCATACCTGGCCAGGTATTATCAATACTTATGAACAGAAATGGACATAAAAAGATGAACAGTCATGAGAAAAGGTAAGAGCTACAGAAATTAACTGGAAAGTTTTAGGGTTACACTTCAAATGTTAGAGGAGTAAGATTACATAGAAATTTAACTTACTAACGGAGTTATATAGTTGACAATAAACAACTTAAACAAACAAAAAGAATGAAGGAAGTTCCAAAAAGTGTAAATAAATACTTCTTTTTTTTTTTTTTTTTTTTTTGAGACGGAGTCTCGCTCTGTCACCCAGGCTGGAGTGCAGTGGCACAATCTCAGCTCACTGCAAGCAAGCTCCGCCTCCCGGGTTCACGCTATTCTCCTGCCTCAGCCTCCCGAGTAGCTGGGACTACAGGCACCCACCACAACACCCAGCTAATTTTTTTTGTATTTTTAGTAGAGACGGGGTTTCACCATGTTAGCCAGGATGGTCTCGATCTCTTGACCTTATGATCTGCCTGCCTCGGGCTCCCAAAGTGCTGGGATTACAGGCATGAGCCACCACGCCCAGCCTGCTTCTTTTCTTAAAGCAGATCTCATGCTACAGTATTGATCCATGAAGACATGGCTAGAAAATCTGTGCTCTCATCCCCACATGTGGCTCCCATTCTAAAGTGCTATTGCTGTTTTCTCAAATGAAAGAAGAATAAAGCCTTCACACTGAGTCAAGGTGGAAAGGGGAGCCAGCCCATTTGCCTTCTAGGCTCATCTCCTCAGTTAAAAGGAACCAAGACATCAGGGTGGGGCAATGTCCACAGTCGGTGGAGTGGCCTGAGCTCCACCATTCACAGGGGACCAGCCAAGATCCATTCAGCTAGGGCACCTGAGAAAAATAGGGTCCTACCACCTAGCAGGACAACTGTTCTCTTTGTAAGTGCTTGGAATTGTTTCCGGAAACATAACAATTACCCCACCTGAGCCCTCACCCCCAAAAGGAGAAGCAGGGTGTGTGGATTGTGCAGCAGAAGTTAAGCAGCTGCCTTCACAGCGAGCTCCTACCTCTCCAGAGACGGTTCTTTAGGCCCGGTCGTCCCTGGACTGGCTCCTGACTCATGTGTTTCTCTGGCATTCTCTGCTTTTCCCTCATTTCACACCTACAAGACAGAGGAAGAATTGACTTGAAGAATTAAAACACTAAGTTCTTTACTAGACACTCAAAGCTTTATCTTAAAACAAACACATCCTTTAAAATGTCCATCACAGTGACCTACCCATGCTGCTTGTAGGCAGCCTTCCTCTGGGCCATCTCCCTCTGCAAGGCTTGAGCACAGAGCTGTGGGGAGAAAAATACATCCACGTCCTGACCTGGCAGACTATGTCCAAAAGCAAGGAAAACAAACAAACTTATCCAGTTGTCAAGAGCCTTTCTTGCATAAGGGGTGATCTGAAAAAGCCAACACATGAGAAATTGAATGTTGAGAGAGTCTAAGGGCCGTGGCATCATCTGCATCAGCACTGAACAATCCTACAACCGTGGGGAGGAAGGTCCTTACTTTGCATCTGTAGGAGTCCTCTGTCCGCCACTGCAACTGTTGCATGTCTTGAAACATTTTCCTGTGGATTACAATCACTTTCATCAGATAAAGCACCACTTTCAGGATGATTTTAAATAATCTGCCATGTTTCTATTATCCTCACAACTGTACCCTTACATAATCTATCTATAGCTTGAAAACATACTTCAAATGGCTATAAAAGTACAGTCTGGGCCGGGTGCGGTGGCTCACGCCTGTAATACCAGCACTTTGGGAGGCCGAGGTGGGTGGATCACAAAGTCAGGAGATCGAGACCATCCTGGCTAATACAGTGAAACCTCATCTCTACTAAAAACACAAAAAATTAGCCGGGCATGGTGGCAGGCACCTGTAATCCCACCTACTCGGGAGGCTGAGGCACGGGAATCGCTTGAACCTGGGAGGTGGAGGTAGCAGTGAGCCGAGATCACACATTGCACTCCAGCCTGGGTGACAGAGTGAGATTCTGTCTCAGGAAAAAAAAAAAGTACAGTCTGATCCAAACTGTTGCTATATTGATTTCTCCTCTTTTGCTTAATGCCTGCTAACTTCTGAGTAGACAATTTCCTTCCCCATTCTTAGTATATCCCTAATTCGTCCTTCATTGGGCATCTTTTATCATAAAGCTCTATTCTCTTTGTATTAATATCCTTGCCATGTTTCACACGGCAGAAACAGCTGGGCTTATAAACAGGCATAGTCCTTTTGAAGGATGGGGTTGATCCTACAACAAGACACTTTCCTAAGGACGACAACAACTCACACCACCCCTAGAATGGCTGGTGTGAACCGAGTTTCCGCACTGTCTAGCTGTTAATGGGGTCAGGAGACGTTTTGCTACTTGACATCTTTTGGTCACTGGTAAATCTTAAGGTACTTTGTTTTCTCTTTTGTGAACTCTCTCTTGCTCTCTCGATATGTCTTCTGACCATTTGTTTCTATTTCTGTATTTACTGGGTCTAAACATTGTACAAAGGTTAAAAACAACACCCAAGAGGGTGGGGTTCAGTTTCTGAACTCACTTGTAGGTACGTATTTTTTTCATAATCAATTTCCCATTTTCCTCTGCGTCTGAGAGCTGCCTCTCCCTTTCTGCTTGCTCACATTCTTTCATTCTCAGCTTCCTGAGATTAGAAAGGACAGAAATGCACACACATGATTCACTAGCCTGCGTGGGATCCTCTCTGCCCTTCTGGTATCTAAAGGCTGTGATTCAAAAGTCTCTCCCGCAACCTTACTACAAATGAACCAACTGATTCTCACAACCTCCCCTTGAGAGACAAAGAAAAATCACACTCTGGACAGCTGGCAAGTCACCTGTCATTTCCAGCTCACCTTCATAGTTCTATAGTCCTATTCTTTAGTAAATAAAGACTATTTGAAGCTTCTATGAGGTGCACTATGTGTGTCTCTGGGGTCAGTTTTGTGCTTGACACAGCGAAAGCCCATTTTAGTTCAGTGTGAAAAATCAGACCTCCCCAACTCATCACAACTAATTCCATCGGGAGCAGAGGATTGCTCCTCATCTGACTCCTCCTGTGGAAGACCTGATTCTCAGTCAGAGGCTGATGCCAGAACCCAATCAGTCTCAGAGAGATCCTTCCAGAATATGGTGTCATTAACCCTGCAGTTCACTACTGCATTTTGCCATGATTCAGGACTGGAACTCTTGTCATTGACTTTAAAGATCCTGGTTCAGAGAAAAGGCAATCTGAATGCTGGGTGCATCTATTGAATTAGAAATGATCGGAATGGCTCCTAAGTCAGGGTGTTATGTCCTGAAAATAGGTGACAACTGCAAACCGTCCACCCCGGTGTTGACTGACTCTAACAAGGTTCAGTTCACAGTGAGGGTAGAAAAAGGAAATGGCCTAAAAAGGTAGGTTTGCTGTGTTGCCCTCACACTACTTGATTCACGGTCCTGATCCTAAGGATCTCACCTGATACTTGATTTTATAGGAAGGATATATAAAATTCCAAGAACCCTAGGAAACAGGGACAAACACACTTCAAAGAGAAAGTTAATGCACTTGTTTCTGACCACAGGGCATCCTTTAGCACATGCGGTCTGGAGTGGCCTTAAGCACGGAGTGTGTGGTGAGGTCCTGAGGATGCAATGGGAGCAAGGTCCTGTTCCCACTCTAAAGGAGCTCACAGTTTAATGCAAATGAGAAGCCAGAGAGGACATCACTACTCCTGCTGTGCACTTGGGAACTAGAAACACAAAACCTGACTCTGGAGGGAAGCTAAGGAAGCGTTGTGCTCTTGAGTTGACGCAAGTGCATCTGAAGCTTCTGATCTCCCATCAGAACAATGGCGGACACCAAACAGAATATAAAACCCATGATTGAATGCATCAAATTGCTAACATGGCAGTAAAGAGACATGAGGTCAAGATGGAGAAGAAGGAAACCCAGGACGAAGGCCGGCCTCGCATTTGGAACCCATTTCCCTGAGTTTCATTGCTGAATTCCAGAAGGGACTATGAGATGCAAAGAATCAGAGCAGCTTTTGTACACACGCATGGGATTAGATGGAAAACAAGTGGATTGAGGGTCTGGCAATGAAGGCGACCCATACTGAAGTCCACTGGCTCTGGTTGAGACCCAGAAGAGTCACACACCAGAATAGAGGTGGACAGGAAATACCCTGGCCTTTATAGGGACTGAGCCTGCACTGATGACCTTAATTGCTGCCTGTATGGAGGACCCCTGATCATTCCCCAGAAGTAGACTCCCATCTCTTCTGCAGCAAGATAACATGCTAGTAGGCCTCCATTCATTGCTAAATATTTTTTAACAAGTATCTCACATTTAACAAAAAAAGATCAGTCATATGGCAGCAAAATACAATGTAATATGACCAAAACGTGAAAGACTGTGAAAATGAATCTGGAGGTGACCCAAGCATTAAATTCAACAATCCAGGCCAGGTGCAGTGGCTCACTCTGGGAGGCCAAGGCAGGCGGATCACCTGAGGTCAGGAGTTCAAGACTAGCCTGGCCAACATGGTGAAATCCTGTCTCTACTAAAAATACAAAAATTGGGCCAGGCACGGTGGATCACGCCTGTAATCCCAGCACATTGGGAGGCCGAGGTGTGCGGATCATGATATCAGGAGTTCAAGACCAGCCTGGCCAATATGGTAAAACCCTGTCTCTACTAAAAATACAAAAATTATCTGGGCGTGGTGGCATGTGCCTGTAGTCCCAGCTACT